TGTGAGCAACGCATTTATCAAATTCTGCGGTAAATTCGGGATTAAGGACGTTTCGTCGACTGCTTATAACCCTACGGCCAACGGATTGGCAGAAGCTTTTAACAAGACCATCATCAAAATTCTGGCAAAATTGGTGAAAACCAATAAGCGAGATTGGGACGACAAACTCGGCGAAGCTCTCTGGGCTTATCGTACGACCGTCCGCACGCCTACCGGAGCCACCCCGTATGCTTTAACGTATGGGTGTGAAGCCGTTCTTCCATTGGAAGTGCAGATTCCTTCTCTCCGTATCGCTCTCGTAACGGGAATAACGACGGAAGAACATCATCAGAAACGTCTCGAGGAATTAGAGATGTTAGATGAGAAACGCTTGGAAGCTCAACAACAAATCGAGTTTTATCAAGCTAGAATTTCTCGGGCTTTCGATAAAAAGGTCCGACGACGAAGCTTTAAAGAAGGAGATCTAGTCCTCGCTGTCCGAAGACCTATGATTCTCACTTCTAAGAAGAAAGGCAAATTTGAACCTAAATGGGAAGGACCGTTTGTAATAGAAACAGTCTATTCAAATGGTGCTTATCGTTTAATTACCCAAGATGGCAACAAATTGATGATGCCAATAAATGGGAAGTTCCTGAAAAAATATTATCCGTAATATATTCAGGATAACCTGTGTAAAGCGGGAAGTTCCTAGAGAATCCTATATAGGATATAACCTATGTAAAACGGGAAGTTCCTAGAGAATCCTATATGGGATATTTCAGGATAACCCGATATCAGTTGATTATTCTAACTAAAAACTGATTATGCGAATGATATGTTCTTAATTGTTATAAAAATAATTAAGAACCTTTTATTACTTTTGTTGAGATGAGATTTAATGACAATTAATCTTTCCTCACAAAACCTTGTAATATGATCATAGAAGATGAGATTCAATAATTTGTAATCTCATACTATGAAACCCCCACCGGTCGGATTAATCAATGATCATCAGTCTGTATCAGTCGGCAAATTATTTCATATTAAATGTTTGAAGTCAAAATTTCTCACCGAGTAGTTTGTGCAAATCAACAAACCCATTGTTATTTGTACCCTACTCCTATTCCTCACCTGGTCAAACCTTTAAATAGTTAGGACCACAACCAAAATCCCCTCTCGATTCGTTCCATGAACGAGAGGTCTACAAATTGAATGATCTAACCTTCTTGCAGTTAAGATCATCTCAAAACTCCCACTTGGTCAAACCTTACTACAGTTAGGACCACAGCCAAAATCTCCTTTCGATTCATTTTGCGAACGAAAGATCCACTTTCGAATTGAGTAATCAAACCTTACGACAGTTAGGATTATTCAGGTCAATCCAGATTCTCTAAGTGAAGATCCCACTTCGAGTTTATTCCAGGAGATAGAATATAAAATTCTTCTTCTCCAATTCTGGGTTTATCTCTACCAACAAACAAGAGATCAGGAGATAGAATATAAAATTCTTCCTCTCCGATTCTGGGTTTATCTCTACCAACAAACAAGAGACCAGGAGATAGAATATAAAATTCTTCCTCTCCAATTCTGGGTTTATCTCTACCAACAAACAAGAGACCAGGAGATAGAATATAAAATTCTTCCTCTCCAATTCTGGGTTTATCTCTACCAACAAACAAGAGACCAGGAGATAGAATATAAAATTCTTCCTCTCCGATTCTGGGTTTATCTCTACCAACAAACAAGAGACCAGGAGATAGAATATAAAATTCTTCCTCTCCAATTCTGGGTTTATCTCTACCAACAAACAAGAGACCAGGAGATAGAATATAAAATTCTTCCTCTCCAATTCTGGGTTTATCTCTACCAACAAACAAGAGACCAGGAGATAGAATATAAAATTCTTCCTCTCCAATTCTGGGTTTATCTCTACCAACAAACAAGAGACCAGGAGATAGAATATAAAATTCTTCCTCTCCAATTCTGGGTTTATCTCTACCAACAAACAAGAGACCAGGAGATAGAATATAAAATTCTTCCTCTCCAATTCTGGGTTTATCTCTACCAACAAACAAGAGACCAGGAGATAGAATATAAAATTCTTCCTCTCCAATTCCGGGTTTATCTCTACCAACAAACAAGAGACCAGGAGATAGAATATAAAATTCTTCCTCTCCAATTCCGGGTTTATCTCTACCAACAAACAAGAGACCAGGAGATAGAATATAAAATTCTTCCTCTCCAATTCCGGGTTTATCTCTACCAACAAACAAGAGACCAGGAGATAGAATATAAAATTCTTCCTCTCCAATTCCGGGTTTATCTCTACCAACAAACAAGAGACCAGGAGATAGAATATAAAATTCTTCCTCTCCAATTCCGGGTTTATCTCTACCAACAAACAAGAGACCAGGAGATAGAATATAAAATTCTTCCTCTCCAATTCCGGGTTTATCTCTACCAACAAACAAGAGACCAGGAGATAGAATATAAAATTCTTCCTCTCCAATTCCGGGTTTATCTCTACCAACAAACAAGAGACCAGGAGATAGAATATAAAATTCTTCCTCTCCAATTCCGGGTTTATCTCTACCAACAAACAAGAGACCAGGAGATAGAATATAAAATTCTTCCTCTCCAATTCTGGGTTTATCTCTACCAACAAACAAGAGACCAGGAGATAGAATATAAAATTCTTCCTCTCCAATTCTGGGTTTATCTCTACCAACAAACAAGAGACCAGGAGATAGAATATAAAATTCTTCCTCTCCAATTCCGGGTTTATCTCTACCAACAAACAAGAGACCAGGAGATAGAATATAATCAAGAGGTTTCTTAAAACTCTCAAATCGCGATCCTTTGGAGAGAATACGATCAACCATAGAATTCAAAAAGGAGATGAAGCCGTCGAGATCAGAGCAAATGCCGGCTTTATCCGGATCCTCGTCTGCTAACAAAGCTCGGATGCGATCTGATAATGATGATGAAGGAACTGCGATGAAGGCAAATAGGTCAGTACAGGACATATATATACATACAAAACAACAAACTAAGACATACCAAGTTCGATGGAAGAACCTTCAGCATGACTTAGTTCACCCGAGGATGGTAACCTGATTTCCGGAACAACCAAGGTTGATTCAGGAATGGTAGCTGTTGATGCACCCGCTACATCAGAGGCTTTTTCAATTAAAGCTTCAGAAGACGGCGGGTCCAAGCTAAGAGGCTCTTTAAGAGTTGATTCTACAAACGAAGGAGTTACAATGAGCATAATGAGATGTTAACCCAAAATTTGAAACAAAATTATGGGTAAAATGTACCAGCAATAGGCATAACATCAGCCGACGTACCAACGCCTTCAGTTGGTCTCGCTTTTGTTGCGACCGGACTAATCTGGGGAGTGACAGTGACTTCTATCATCATAGGGTCCATAGGAGTAGAAGGTTGAGGCTCAAGAACTGATGATTGCAAATCAACCTCAGTTCCTGCCCATGGCACGAGTTCGCTACCCTCTGGCCGATCAGACGTTCCAGTAATTATAGTAGTATCAGCTCCAGCAGTTGGTCCTATAATTCAGACACTTATATGATTAATCAAGTCAAAATATATACGTATATATATATGTGGAGTTCACAGAACCAAAGTCTTACTCTCAGAAGGACCGGCTTCCGTTGAACCAATTCCAACATCTGAGCCGATAGTTGCATCAGAGGCTTTCTCTAACAGAGAATCAAGGATTTGTTGATGGTCGTCCTCTGAGATATTAAAGTCGAAATTATTAAAATCATCGACTTTGGTGGCATGGGTAGCTTCTCCTTCAATAGGCTCGTGCATCGGGATGTCTAAAGAACATGAGGAACCATAAATAACATGTAAATTTAGACGAATCTGCCCAAGACAAAGATCGATTTTACCTTCATTGGTCGGGGCTGATTCGAGAGCTCCACTACTGGTACCTGCTTCTTTTAATTTGACTAAAAGGAGAGAAAGCGCACAGGTCATTAGAGGAGGCACACGGTCCGACTCATTCATTTCTCGGATTTCTCTTCCGAGAGGAGAAAGATCAGTACCTGTGTCCGCAGCTGATGGATCAACGTCAGGAGTGGGTGGAACATCAGCCGATCCTTCCTTCAGAGCATCATGCATTTGTTGGACGAAGCTTGTTTCCTCAATTTCCATACCTCCGGGAGAAGCAGCATCAGCTGGCAATTCTCCTTCCTCTCGACTCCCTGCAGAAGTTGAACATGAAATAAGTTTGAACGTCAAAAAGTGTAAAAGCTATAAAAACAAATCGTTACCTTGCTCATCAGAAGAAGCACTACGACCAGACGCCTCTTCTACAGCAGGAAGATGAACGCGCGGTTTAGAAACAGCTTTCTTCTGTTTCTTCAGAGGGCGTGCACCAGAACCTTCATGACGATGTTTGGTGCGTAACTCAGCTCGGGGAGAAACTTGAGTTTGAGCTTGAGTAGAAGTTCGAGATATTTGCCGACGAATGAGAGGCACCATATCCTCTTCATCCTCTTCGTCGCAACTAAGAACTTCTACCGTCATCCGGTTAGGATGTTCCATGACGACTCTTTCCTTACGTTTCTTTGGAGCAGCTTGTGGTTGGGTCGGAGCGACAGAAGGCCTTACAAGTCCTCTATCAAAGAATGAATCGGGAAGGCCAGATACTTCCTCAGAACTTGATTCATTCTCGTCTTCCCCTTCTGAAGTTTCGGTTGCTTCACTATCAAACTCCTCTTCACTATCAACTGGGAGAGCCGGTTCCTTTCCTTTCCTTGATGATTCAGCAGCCTCTTTTCCTCGAGGCGACATCACAGCTTCACGAGGCGGTTCTGTTGCTTGTCGTGGAGCTATTTCCTCCTCTGAGTCTGATATCCTCCTACGTCGAGTGGCAATATTGGTGGCTATCAGCCATTTGCAGAAGAGAAAGGTCATCCTTAGGGGCGGCGCCTCTAAAGGAAGATCAAATTCAACATTTGTGCAGCCAGCAATGCTCCAGAACCAAGCCCTCGCACCATCGATAAGTCCACCTCGAAAGCTAAGGTGGCGGTTTGGATTGCCGACATATATCTGATCATACCCGAATTGACGGGCGAATCGACATGGGAGATAGGGTTCAATGTGGCAAACATCCCTTACTCTGAAGAACAGATATCCAGGTCGAATATTCATCAACCATCTGAAGCACCCGACATCCAAGATAGTGCGATTCTGCCTTGGGTCTTCAGCATCTACTAAAGTAGTATTGTAGGTACCGGAGAATTGAGGGAAGCAGGGGAAGAATTCCCAACACTTGTGAATTTTAAACTGCCTCGTTATGTCGGGTTCTTGATGCCTGATCCATTTGCAATTCTCGAGATTCTGCAACAGAGGGATGCTAGAATTTGCCGTCTCAGGAGCTTCCATTAAATCTGGTCGATGAAGTACTAACCAGGTCATCAGATAAGTATAAGGTAGCTCCAGCTTCGGAACGGACAGACTGGCAGAGGGTTTCTTTTTCTCCTGAGTAAACACGGAGATTAATTGCCGTAATCCACTATGAATATCGGCCACCATAGCGGGAAGCAAAGATAATTTGCGACCTGTAACTAGCTGGACGGCCGGATACAACACTTCCATTGGCATCGCATCTGCGGACTGATGAGGAACTACACATCTCTTTAACCATAAGGCTAGAAAACCCGCCAGCAGAGCAGTAGGGCTAATCGGAACACCAGCTTGCCACAGATAAGAGCGGAACTTAGTGCCGTGCAAAAATCCATCTTCTGAGCGCGAAGTATAAGATTGCGCGTTGGTTTTCTCTAACAGACGGTTAATTTCATCCGTACTCAAAGGAGACAATCCGCACACATCTGCCGAACGGACATCCAGGTTCTTGAAGAGGTAGTCAGCGAATTGTTTTAAGCTGACCTGAGGAGATTTCTTTCTGGCTTTGGGCTCCATCTCGGCCATGGCTATATGATAATGGCAAGTCAATTCCCATAAAGTATCATGAGTCACAGTTGAGCTATCTTTCATCTTGTTCAGCTGATTGCTAGTTGGAAAGAACTCTTGATAGGGAACATCGCCCATAGGCAAACCAGACACCTGCATCATTTCATGCAGTGGTAATCCGAGTTCCCCGTTCTTGGTAAAGAATGTATTAGTGTCCGGGTTATAGATCTCGAACAAGCAGAGGAAATGACCTACACTACTCTGTAGGCCATGCATGGTGGCACGAATCGGGACATCTAACCCTAATTCTGCTAACTCTCGCCCAAAGCGGTTTAACACATATCGGGTCATCCTGGTCCACCACCATTTGTCCCCAGAATAATGGACCCATCCATAGCATCTAAAAGTCTCTTTGGGTAATCTTTTGCCCGCTGCCGCTAACCGGTTCTTCACGGTGTTGGCTTGCACTATCTTTTCATTCTGAGGTATATTATCTTGTCCCAAGATACCCGGATGAAGCCCCCGCACATGAGCTCTTTCACTGGAGCCTGGGTTGGCTTCCTTCCCAATAAAACCACAATGAATACGCTCGTGATTTTCAGTCAACTTCCAGAACATCTCACGTCCAACTGATAGATTCCTGAACATTAATAGTGAGTGATCCCGGGGGATAAAAGGCAGATATAAGAATGAGGACCCATTCTGGTGCAACCATTGCGCAGGCTGGCAGAAAGCAATCTTCGGATCTTTTACCGAGTCACCAAATAAGAAATCTGGCTTCCTTATGCATTGATTCGAGTCTTGCTCCGAGATCAAGGGCGCATCTGTGATTAATCGTCGTAGAACACGACAACTACCTCGCTGGATTAATTCTCTATCACTTCCACTATAATCAGATTTAAACTGGGGAGAGGATTCAATTAACGGGATCCCCTCGTAATAAGAGTGGGTCACGCTACTCCGGCCAGTAATCACATCAGCAGTAAATGTGGTAGAAGGAAATCGGACTGATAAAAGAGGCATACACATAAATTGTGTAAGTGTCATCCTAAAATTTTAGAGAAAAACGGTATATCTCATTCTATAAGATATAGTCGTTATCTCATAACAGGTGTGACGATTTTCTATCCACCATATGTATAAAGGAGGTATGCGGGCATTATAACGGCATACCAAAACCTTTCAATACATATGGGATGATGTAAAATCGCCCCTGTGTATTATGAAGTGTGTTTTGTCAAAGCAAAACAAACACTTTTAAGCGTCGATCCCCTCAAAGGAGGATACCGGCTCTTCTCGAAGGTACCTCAAAGGATACAAACGAGGATCTGCAAGCAAAAATAGGAACATACATATGGAATGGACGAAATACAATATTTAAATTCGTGAAAAGGTGAAAGAAATATACCTCCACGTGAGGGTGCAGCAGGGGCAGCCTCCTCAGGGCTCTGAACAGTCGGTCGGATTCCCTTCCCTCGAGCTCTACGTGGCGACATGATGAGTATGTGATCTACATTGAAATCCAAGAGGAAGGTTAAGATTTTGAACATGAAATCGACAAAAAATAGGACAAATACAACCGAAATGATGCATGCACAGTCACAGTTGAAGGAGAGTCAAAATTTTGGAGAAAAGGGGAAGAACAAACCTTTGAAATCTGAGTGAAATCTTCCCAAACAAGAGCACCTCCCAAGTCGGCAACAAAGAGGAGAAGAAATAGAAGAAAACTGGTCGAAAATCGCCCAAGAATCGCCCAAAAAATCGCCAAAATCCGACGTAAAAAACCCTAAAACCCTAAGTCCCGACTTATATAGCAGCCGGGCGAGACAGGAAACTCTGTCTCGCTGAGCGAGACAGACAACTCTGTCTCGCCGAGCGAGACAGAAAACACTGTCTCGCCCAGCGAGACAGAAAACTCTGTCTCGCCGAGCGAGACAGTAAACTTTTCTGTTTTGCACTATGGAACAGTGGAATACTCCAATGGGTACACGAGTCTAAACTGTATTCCCACCCTCAACAGGAAGTTTCTGGAGAATATTAATCTGAATATTCTTAAGGATAACCTGAGGAATTCTCAATGGATATACCAATTCAATGGTAAACGCTGAATTCACAAGAGCAAGTATCAACTTCAATTCAAGATCTCGACAACGGTCAAGCGATAAACGCGACGCCGGGAGAACGTTAGCTATTCTACGAAGAACTGGATAGACTAACAGCAGAAGAGGTTAAACATTGAAGCCATTTACAAGTCCTTTCATACGATCTATTCAGCCAAGCATTGAAGGGATCGTAAGTAAAATCTATCTTATCCAAAGTATCCCATGCTCCTCTATAAAAGAATGAGTCTGGAATACTTTGGAGGGGGTATCTGTAGGCGTCAAAAAATGCTAATAGATATCCCAAGCATAGAGAAGATCACTCAAAAATTCACAAGAAAGGATTTCATACTGTTTTGGAAAAATCAAAACAAGTATGAACTGTCTCGCCAGCGAGACAGTCTTTGCTGTCTCGCCAGCGAGACAGTGTTGAAATAGTCAAAACTACATTTGTAACTGCCCTACACGTGTCCATTAACTGCCAAGGGACGTGGGAAACATCATGGGCGAAAATCACGTGGATAACTGCCAAAATAACGGAGTTTGAAACGTGAGAGAACAGTTACAGCGAGAAACTGCCATTTTCCGAGACAGCATTTACTGTCTCGCTGAGCGAGACAGCAAATTTACTGTCTCGCGGGTCGAGACAGCAAACGCTGTCTCGCCCAGCGAGACAGTAAACACTGTCTCGCCGTACTGACTTCTTCGATTGTTAAGTTTTTGCAGTTACTGACCCTTGAGGCTATAAATACCCCCCTAGGGTCACTTCTGACGAGGATCGAGCATTTGTTAGAGCATTCCAGAGCAGAGAGAGCAGAGATTTGGGTTCTTTTCTTGCAACGCCTTGAAATTAAGCTTCGACTTGATTTTAAGAAGAACGACTATCTTACTTCGATAAGATATCGTTTCAATTTCTACTTCGATAACGAAGTCAGAATCATAAGCCCCCTCTTCACGATCTGTGAATCGGCGGTCCACGAACCAAAGCGTTCCCGGCACAGGCAAAGTCCCACGAAAACGAGAATTGATAGACGATTTTCGTGTTTGTTTCTCAAGAGTTGTAATTTTTGTTTTGTTGTGTAGAAAAAGTCTTATAAAAAGATTATTCTTTCGAATTTGTTGTAATAGAACAAAGTTATAATGAATTCCACAGCAGCGACTTTTGAACCAAACAGCTAGGCTCGGGTTGAGTTAGAAATTAAGTA